TTTCTAAGATATCTTTGTTTGCTTGCAATTAGTGGTAATAAGTAACAATAAATTGCACAAAAAATTAAAAGAAAAAAATTGTACTCCTTTCTTATGTCATGTACTGCTTTTTTTCTATCGAAAATATAAATGTACTCCTTTCTCCGTTTCAAAATCTGGCAACCCTAATGTAGGCATGCAGAAGATTCAATACTTATCTTTTACGACTTTAGCGCTTACCTCCCCCCTTTCCATGTAATTTTGGTATCTGCATGATTTTCTTTTTTACAAACACCGGACACGCTTTTGTTTCCAGCTTATACATTCACGAATTCGTCGTTGCTCATAAAAATGTTTGTAATAATTTTTCAAAACTGTCTACTATAAATTGATCGCTCAAGAAGTCGAGACCGGTCGAATTTTTAATGTCCTCAAGTATGCGTTGGGCAACATTAATGCTGTATGTCATTGTTTTAAAGGTATTTAATGTGATAGGATAACGTGCTTCGCTAAGCTCCCCAGGATCCCGCACAAAGCTATTCCAATCGAATCTGTGCTGTGATGCGCAAGTGGTGCTGCAAAGAAAAAAGGCTAAGACTATATTCAAACAGGCCAATTAGCTGAGGCAATTAAGCTTTAAATTGCGGTATTGTGTTTGGTGTTCACACACACGTCAGCTGTCCAATTGGCGATACGAAATCAGCTATCTACATCTATCTCTTTTAGGTAGTTTCCGTAAATTAGGTACAATTTTATAATTCAATTTTCCATCCCTGATGGAATATCAGCAGTAAAAGAGGACCTGAAACAAACAGCTGATTGCTCTTTGTTCAATAAACATACCACCAAGTCAAAATTAAACATACCTAGCAGGGTTGCATAGAGAATCTGACGCAAATTGATTGCCAATTAATTATTAATTGGCAATTAATAATTTGGATTTTCGTATGATAAATTGTGTAACAATTAAGGCCTAAATTGGTTAAAAGGTTCTTAATTGCCAATAAGGTGCCTGTTTGAACATAGTCTAATGCTTTGCAATATACCAACCTGGAACTCAGCCAAACGGTGTTACATTGGGAAACTTTAGTCTTTTTTACCTTCAAGGTTTCTGCTCTTGATGTTGGGCAATCTGCTGGATATATAAAATATAAATTTTATAAAAGAAAAATTACAATTGATCAAATAAAATTGTTAACAAATTCTTCTTACCTCCAAAATTTTGCGCGAAATTGATATTTTTCTTCCCTGCCTACTAGAATTTGAAATTCGCTGTCAAATTTCGCCTTTCTTTCACTTGCTCGCTCTAACGCATATAGTTCATATTAAGATTGCGAATTCTTATTACCTGTGCTGCTCTTACTTAGGCAAATTGTTTTCGACAACTTTTGAGTGCGTGGGTGAGATGACAAAAGAGTTGGGTATGTGTTGGTAAATCTTTTGATTTTCAGGGGAAAGTGGTGAGCTGGGGCTGGCAGGGATAGCCACCAAAGGGCTAAAACGGCAACACTGCTCAGTGTTGCTTACTGCAGTGTTGCCATTCATCAATGCCTTTTCATAAACTTGCCTTTTCAACTACAATTTTTCGAGCTATAATGGATCGTAGCTAATTAAAAACTACTTAGTTTTCAACAAAAAAACCTTATTCAATAGTAAATTTCACATATTTTAAACGTATTTTGTATAGGAACTTATAACATTTTTAACATCTGAAAAACTGGCGAAGTGGCAGCCATCTATAGGAGGAAGAAAACAGCTGACACGGAAAAATCTGAATACCGCAGATTTCTACGCTACGGGCTAAACTACAGAAAAATTCTGCGGTGTTGAGTTTTCATTTACATGGCGCTTTGGTAAGACAGATTGTGTCAGCTGACTCGGGTTTACGTACCGGTAGGTTTACGTTCTTGACTAATTTCAGCTTTATCCAGGAAAGTTGAGGACGCAAATAGTCCTGCTATTGTTCCCTATTCGTTGCTGACTTCAATATTTAATAACTCAGGGTTATACAATCAGAACTTTTAGTAGCAGTTGCATATCTTATGCAACTTTTTAACTCATTGGGTAGGTTCAGAAGTTGCAGCCGTTGAGCGCAACCGTTGCTAAAAAAATCAGTATAATCATAACGATTATGGGTCTTCTGAACGGCTTGATGCTTTAGCTATCAAATTCAACTCTCAACAACATGTCTCAAATGACCAGAAAAATATTACAATCATCTAACACGCAACTTATCAGTTGATCAGAAGTACACCAACGCTTTCAGAAGGTGCAATGGGAACAATTACTGAGGTGTTGCGCCTTATGAACGTGCCCATTATGAAATTAGTGAAGCAAAAAATAAAAAAATTAGTTAATACTGTGGCGAATACTGCGGCAACACAAAGCGAACAACGAGAAATAGGCAGAATGTTCGAAGAATGACGTAGAATGTTCCACAAAGAGAAACGTCAAGTTGGATGAACACTGCGAACAGCGAGAGAAAGAGAATGAGCGATAAACTTCAGAATGTTCTAGAGTTGCCATAAGTGCCAGCGCAGGTATATAAGGGCGCCGCCACCGCGAGGTGAGTGAGTTGCAAGTCAGCAAGCTACAAGTAAAGTGAGCAGAGAAGTGAGTTGCGATTAAGCAAGCTATAAGTTTAATTGTGTTAACAAGTTTAGTAAATTGTTGTTATTGCTTTAACAAGTATTGTAAAGTGTTTCTACTGTATTAGCGAATATTGTAAATTGTTTGTTGTACAATAAAGTTAATTGTACTACAATTTGGTCATTGTTAGCATTTATTTAACAATCCAGAGATACGAACCGAGTGATTTGGGAAATCCCTCAAGGTTTCGAGGATAATCGTAACAATTGGTGTCAGAAGTGGGATTGTTAAATAAATCCCGAAGGATAAACTTTTGAAAATGGCAAAAATTCAGGACTTAAAGATTGAGGAACTCAAACAGGAGTTGGAGAAGCGAAATTTAGCAACCTCCGGAAGAAAAGTGGAGTTACTATCACGGCTGCGAGAGGCTATGGAAGCAGAAGGCATCGACGTGGACAAATACGACTTCCAGGGTAAACTTGACGATGCATCCGCAAAGGATGAACAGAAGGATGAGGCCGCTTGTTCGTCGAAGGATATGCAGCAGACATCCGGGAAGGTTGAAGAACAGCAAAAGTCTCCAAGTTCATCAACATATATGGACAGGAACACGTTATTGGCTGCTATGTCACAGATATCATCACAGCTGTCGACACAGATGCAAGCACAGGATACACGCATGTCTAAGATGTCCTCACAGATTTCATCCCAGCTGCAAGTGCAGGAAACACGCATATCATCGCAGCTAGATGAAAAGATTACTCAGCTACAAGAGAATTTATTAAAAAATAACGCGGAACTGAGAGAGAGACAGGATAAAATCGAGGAACGACAAGATAAAATTGAAGCGCTTATTAAGGAAAAACAGGAGAAAGTCGAAGCTAAGGTGGATGAGCTTGAAGATCGTCTCCGGGGTTTGCAGTTGAATCGTCCAGCTACTTCGACGAACGCTTCCAAGGTAAAAACCCCATCCTTTGACGGCGCGATTCCTTTCCAGGTCTTTAAGCTCCAGTTCGAAATAACGGCTGCAGCAAATCACTGGAGCATGGAGGATAAATCCGCTGCACTGTTCGTTGCATTAAAAGGACCTGCAGCGGAAATCTTGCAGACTATTCCTGATTGTGAAAGGAACAGTTACGATGCGTTAATGGGTGCAGTGGAAAGACGTTATGGTAGCGAGCACAGGAGACAGATATACCAGATGGAGCTGGAGAATCGCTGCCAGAAATCCAACGAGACTCTACAGGAATTCGCCTCCGAGGTTGAAAGGTTGGCTCATTTGGCAATTGGAGATGCATCTGGTGAGCACCTCGAAAGAGTAAAAATCCAGAGGTTCATCAACGGAATGCGGGACGTGTATACCAAGCGCGAGACGTATGCAAATCCAAAGCCAACATTTGCTGAAACGGTCTCGTATGCTCAGACACGTGAAACGGCGGCGCTCCTAAGTATACCAGCCTACAAAGCCCATCGAGTAGAGGTGGAGACACCTGACGTGATGAACGAGATCCTGAAAACACTCAAGTCGATGGCAGAGAAGAATACTCCTGGTGCAACCGAGAGAAAGGATGGTGCTAGGAAATGCTTTAGTTGCGGGAAACCAGGCCACTTTGCCCGCGATTGCAGCGCAAGTTTCAGTGGGCTCAACCATTCAGCAGGACGCAAACGCAGGGCTGAGGGAGACGAATCCAACTCAAATCAGTCGTTAAACTAAAACGTGCCAGCAGGAAGGGCCGCGTGCTGGCTCCAGAAGTTGAAGGGCCCATAATCTCCGTCTCACAAATTGGCCGGAATGCGAGCAACCTCACTATTGGTGGATGTGTGGTTGGGCAGGAGAGAGTACTGACAGTGGATACTGGAGCGACACATTCCATTATTCGACCGGATTTGGCCACTTTCTATGTAAAGCCACTACCTGGAGCAAAGCTGCAGACTGCAACTGGTGAATGCACCCAAGTATTAGGAGAAGTACCATGCGAGGTAATAATCGACGATGTGGCCTCGTACACTAAGTTTATAGTGGCAGACATTGTGGATGAAGTCATCATCGGCATGGATTTCTTACTTGGCCAAGGCATGAAGATTGACCTCCAGAGAATGATCCTGACAGATCGTCACAGGAAAGTGCCACTTAGGGTTGGTTACGACAGCCAGTGCTGCAGCAGACGGTTAGTCTTAGAGGAAGTGTTGAAGATTCCACCAGAAACGGAAGCGGTTGGTTGGGCGGAGGTTGGCAGTGATGGAGACGGAGTGGTTTCGTCAGGAGAAGGAAGCGGTTCACCGATACAGGAAAAGCGTGACGGTTCCGCTAGCTCAGTGAATAAGAGGTCACAACAAGGAATTGGTCATGGCGAGCCAGGCAGTGTTTCCGGCAGGAGGAAAGCCACTGAACCACGTTGCAATGGTGATACGCCGGTGGCCGGAAATGGAAGCGGCTGTGGAAACAGTAGCCGCGCTTTGAAGTGTCCCGGAAAAGGTGGCCGGCAAAGGCGAGCAGTTAAGTCGGAAGCCAAGGATGAGGTTATACATGTCCGGTCAATGAGATTGACGCCGGCGAAAGAGCGAGATGCGGAAACACTGGGAAAGTTTCAGCGTGAGGAACCGGATTTAGCAAGATGTGCTAAAGGCAGTGCAGTACGAAGGCAGGAGCCTGGGTGTCATGGACAGATGATGCGGCATAGATCTGGCGAAAAGGGTGCCCGTGAGAAGAGACATGGTCTGGTCACCACCAGTGGCCGGCAGAAGCACGACCATGTGAGAGGATGCACCACCGGAGATAAGCTGGAAGCAATGTCCAGTAACGCATTGAACCGAGAGGAGCTACAGGAAGGCGGTTTGGTGTTGTTGCACATGCCGAAGCCGAAGAAAGGCGTCACCTCCGAACAACATCGTAACTGGAAAGGTCCGTATAGGATTGACAAACGGCTGAAGGACGCAGTGCATCCAATCCAGACAGCTGGTAGACCGAGGACCAAGATGAAAGTGGTCCACTTGGAAAGACTTGCAGCGGTTGGAGCGGCAAGTATGTCTAATCGGGACGATCAGACTTAGGTGGAGGGCAGTGTGGAGAATACTGCGGCAACACAAAGCGAACAACGAGAAATAGGCAGAATGTTAGAAGAATGACGTAGAATGTTCCACAAAGAGAAACGTCAAGTTGGATGAACACTGCGAACAGCGAGAGAAAGAGAATGAGCGATAAACTTCAGAATGTTCTAGAGTTGCCATAAGTGCCAGCGCAGGTATATAAGGGCGCCGCCACCGCGAGGTGAGTGAGTTGCAAGTCAGCAAGCTACAAGTAAAGTGAGCAGAGAAGTGAGTTGCAAGTCAGCAAGCTACAAGTAAAGTGAGCAGAGAAGTGAGTTGCGAATAAGCAAGCTATAAGTTTAATTGTGTTAACAAGTTTAGTAAATTGTTGTTATTGCTTTAACAAGTATTGTAAAGTGTTTCTACTGTATTAGCGAATATTGTAAATTGTTTGTTGTACAATAAAGTTAATTGTACTACAATTTGGTCATCGTTAGCATTTATTTAACAATCCAGAGATACGAACCGAGAGATTTGGGAAATCCCTCAATACAATACAATAAACAGTTTATCCCCCGATTCCCCGCGTAAATTGAAATTCCCACAAAAAACGGTCCATTCCCAATTCCCCATGCAAACTGAAATACCCCGAAAATTCCCCATGAGCTGGCTTCCCTGGCCAGTAGCAAAGTCTTCTCCGCCGTTGAATAAATTGGTCCGGCCATGTTTTCTAGGATATCAGCTGTGCGTAAAATGACAGATTGAAGGTTTTAACTGCGAACAATTCTAGGATTTTTTGGATAAAGGAATATATGGTGCTAATCTGATCCTGTGGCTAAAACTAAAAGAATATGATAGCGGAATAATATTCTTATTTATCTTCCGTGCCCCATTAGATGTGATCAAAGGGAGCATTTGCTTGGGTTTGCCAAATGGTAATGTGACTTAGATAGCAGCGCAAGCTAACGCATAAGGAGGCAATTCACCAAAGGGACAGTCCCGTAAGTTTTCCTTTGACCATTATATAATTACTTAAATATTTAACTTTCATTTAGTTTCTTTAGTGAATGCAGTGGCTGCTACCGTGTTATTAAGTCGTAAAATTCGAAAATATAAAATCGTTTGAAACTCTCTAAATAAGAGGTTTGCCCAAACCGCTCCCTTATGTGCAGACGAAACAGAATAAACGTAAGCAAATTATGAGAATAAGGTGACAAAGCCAATTAAGGAGTTTATATTAAAATTTGAACAAATTCATAATTGTTGTTAAACCCATATACAAGTACACCATGAATAACGATTCGAAATTGAGTGATGTCAGCAGCGAGGCTCTAGCAAGTGGTCCTCACATTTACACAAAATCCTTACTATCGGCATTTGATTGGAAAGAGTTTGCGTGTGGATGCGGAGCCGCTTTTATAAACATAGGCGTTACCTATCCGATATATAAAATGATTTTTCGCCAAATGCTTCATGGTGTGCCAATGACATCAGCCTTTGGCCAGTTACGCCACGAAGGCTTAGCATTTCTTTATCGTGGAATCTTCCCACCAATGGCACAAAAGACTATTTCTTTATCTATTATGTTTGGCGTATTTGACGGATCGCGTCGATATTTAATCAATAACTTCAATATGAATGAATATACCGTCAAAATAGTTGCTGGCATTTCATCAGGCACTGTTGAAGCGGTGCTTCTTCCCTTCGAAAGGATACAAACACTGCTGGCGCACTCCAAATACCACGAATACTTTGCTAACACTCCGCGAGCATTCAAGTAAGTTGTCACAATTAAAAATATGTAACTCGGATGTTTTCTATCAGCTTTTAGTACCAAAATTGTCATAATGGCCAATCTCATCTACTAGTTTGTTTTTTATAACTATACCCAATTGATGCGTATAATTGTCAAAAATATTAACAATAAGTACATTTTATTCGTTAATTTTGAGCTCCCGGCCGGTTATTAAATAGAACATAGATTTTGGTAGTTTTATTTATTACATTTATTGATGTCGATATTTCGCCTTCAATCTGAAGGCATCTTCAGGAATTATTGAGCTATTAAGTACATTTTGTAATATGTATAGCTACAACTAAATGCTTATAGCCACTACCAGCTAGCATTTTATTCTTCAAGTACGTTACATTTATGCACATAACATATACATAATTTGAATTTGAAACATAATACATAATTGGAATTTAGACAAAACACAAGATACAACTACACATGCATACATATATGTAAACCCACCCAGCATTTTCTGAAATTATTGATCATATACGAGTCTTTTTTGAGCCCTCTGCCCGATTAAGGGCCAGTTTTTCAGTGCACGGCCGTGGTTTAAACTAAGTTTAAACGCCCGATCTGGCTGGTTTAAACTAAGTTTAAACGCCCGATCTGGCTGGTTTAAACTAAGATCAGCCAATCAAATGCCAACCAGCTGTTCAATTTATACTCAGTTTACTTAATCTAAGTTTAAACTGGCACTGAAAAACTGGCCCTAAAACGGTCACAAATGTGCTCATATTCTGATCATAAAAGACTGTTCTTGACGAGTCTTTTATTGCCCACTTTTCTGATCAGTTTTGACTCTTTTGGATCATATTTATATTCAATCGTGAATCTTATTCGAATGATATTTCAGTCGTATTTCTAAATATTTTCAAGTCTCTCGAGTAATTTTTCAGTTCTATTTCCAATTATTTTCGAGCCTTTTCCGCTGCGTAAAATTAAATAAGTATTAAATTGGTTTATAACTAGCGAATCAGCATATTTTATTAAAAATCCATTATTACTGTTGAAAATATTTCAAAATTACCCTCCCGGATAAAATTAATTGGCACAGAGAACTTTTCACAATGTATTCAAACTTTTTTGTTACAATTTCTTTTCACAAATTTTTTTGGTTAAAGCATAGCTCATATTACAACGAAAACATAAAAATAAAATGTCTAATCTTTATGCAGAACTCAGAAATGAATTTGCAACGTTTAAAATAGATCTTCTAGAAAGATTTTTAGTATGCAGTTTTGTAGCCCATAAAATTTTAGTACAATAAAGGTTCCAAGGTTTAAAAAATCGCGTTGATGTTTGGCAGTGACAGTGTCTTCTATATAAAAAAAGTGGGGAACATACTATATATGGAAGACACTGTCAGAAAAAAATTGCCAAAAATGGAGTTGAAAAATAGGAAATTTTTTAATCTTCCTGAGTTTTGAGATTTTGCCGTAACACGAGCTATGTTTTTTATAAAAAATTTGCGAAGAGAAATTAGTTAAAAACTTTTCCCGCATTGTGAAAAGTTCTTTGTGCCAATACTTTTGTCCGTATAAAAATTAAAAATATTGAAATTAAGAAATCCATTTTACGAATTGCGCGGGCTCTTCGCCGTGTGTACTTGCAATGATTGTGTTTGTTTTCGTTTTTCCAACCCGTCTTTAGCATGCCCATGCTTTTTTACCACACCGTTTATTTCTTAGGCTGTGCTTTAGATTCAAGATGGCAAATATCTACTAATACTAATACGTATTTATATTGCAATTTTCTTACACCACGCACTTCACACCACGTCACGACTCTTATTGTTAACATTTGACCAAAAATTATGCGTTAGGAGCAAAGGCAGCTGAAACAAATGATTTTTTTTAAATAGCAAAAGTAAGATCACATTTCAATCCCCAGCATGATCGATTAGTGATTGCCCTACATTTTGTTTTTTGCCCACTTTTCAAGCGTAAGGGTGAGTAATTTTCGAGTATTTTTTTAATCGCGGAAGCTATTAATCAGTTTTTAATCATCAAAAGTGATCGAAGAACATTCAGTAATGTGATTTTTATACCCAAGACGAATGTATAGATAAATGATCAGAATGAACAAGAAATCGATTAAGCGGTGACTGTCTGTCCGTCTGTGCACACTATAGCTCGAGTAAAAATTAAGATATCTTAACGAAACTTGGCATGCTTATATCTTTTCAGCATAGGACGGATGGTGTTGAAAATGCGCAAAATCCGACGATAACCACGCCTACCTCCCATATAACGGTAGTTTTCAGAAATACGAAAATTGCGATATTTTAGTAACTACTAAAGATTATTCACCCAAAATTGATATTTGCAATTATTTTTAGACGGAAAATAGGAATATTATAAATTTTTGGAAAATGGACGTAGCCACGCCCCTTTATGATTACATGTGTATATCTTGCGAACTTCTTCACCAATTTCTCCCAAACTTGGCACAGTTGGTGGTTTTGAAAAAACATACCAAACGGCTGACAATTTAAAAAATCGGACAATAACCACGCCCACTTCCTATATAACGGTAGTTTAGAGAAATACGAAAGCTTCGATAAATCAGTAACTACTGAAGCTAATTTATTCAAAATTGATGTTTGCAATAATTCTTTAGCAAAAAATGCGCTTGTAATAAAATTTTGGAAAAAGGGTGTGACACCGCACACTTATGATCACATATGTGTATCTCGGTAACCGTTCGATCAATTTGTACCAAACTCGCTATGATTATTGTGCTTGCCACAAAAAGGCAAAACGTTTGAAAGTATTGAGATCTGATTAAAATTACGCCCACTTTTCTATAACGGTTAATTTCAGAAATGCTTGAAACTTCGATATTTCGATATTTAAGGACGCCTCTTTTACCCAAAATTGTACTAACAACAATCCCTTGAAAAGAAGTAACATTATTACGGAATTTTGAAAAAATGGGCGTGATGCCGCCCGCATATATCTATATAAGTTTATCTCATTATATCTAACTGCACATTCTATCGAAGATGTTTGAAATAGACGTAAAACCACCCCTGTTTATCACGTAGCGGTAGTTTCCGGAAAGGTGAAAAAACCATATTGAATACTTGCGCCGGGTATTTAATGTTCGGCTCCGCCCGAACTTAGACTTTTTTACTTTTTATTAAAGTAATATTCCAAACACTATGTGGGAATACATACATATAAGCATAGAAGAAATTTTTAATTTTTTTTATTTTCATTTTGTCGTAAAAAGGTCTGTTGGCCTCTTTTTCCGCTAAAATTCCTGCGACTGCTCAACATTCTACGAAGAGTAGTTCGGCGCTGGGAAAAAACTTCGCGGAACGTTATCTTGCAACTCACAACATAAGGCGTCATCTGAGGTGTTCATTTTGTTGCTTTACTGGTATATGGCATTGGTCATGATGACTATTTTGGTACTAAAAGCTGATAGAAAACATGGATTACCTCGTGAGGTGGTTACCTATTTTCCCAGTGGCTATATACATACTTATGTATACATGCATATCACTGTATTCTATGATGTTTGAAATATTGTACAATTTTTGGATTTATTAGATGGATTTTTTAGAACAACACATCATAGTGCTCGTAACCCTGTTCGTTATTTACTCCAATATAAATCAATATTGACGTTCACAGCTCTTCTGCGTGTTTGGCAGAACTTCTCCTCAATTGGAGAGACTCATAGTTTTACGCCGTCTCTGAACGCTAAACGGTTCTTATGCGCTGGCTTAGGATTGAGCGTGGGATTTTGCAGCGGCTCACTTAGCCCTGCCTTAATGTTGTTGTTGTAGCAGCATACAGATTCTTTAGGGCGTGTTGCTGGAGTGACAGTCCATGGCCAGATATAAATCTGGGTCGCTCCGGTTACGCGTACCCGACTGTCGTGGGGACGAGCCCTGTCTATATCGGTGTGTCCGCTCAACCAACGGAAGGCCCATGGAGCGTTTCACTAGGACGGGGTTAAACCAGATTGGTTCTACTACTCAGTTACGGCAGCTGTCAATTGATGAACACCTATTCCAGTTACAATTATTTGGATAAAATTTTTACATAGTCTACAAATCAAAATGTTTCACTTAATGTTGTAACTGCGTAATACACTCTCGAACTTGTATACAATGTGTTAAGTATTTGTGTGATCTAGAATTCATGAATATTATGGCATCACAACTGAATCAAGTCTAATTACTTAGCACAATCAGTATTCTAAAGGTATTTTAGAAAACTTTCTAATTCTAATTACTTAGGTACTTTGCATGCCAAGAATATATACACCAGAAATTAAGTAAATCTGTACATAAAACTAACTATTACGTTTTAAAATATGGATTTACTAGCTGTGAAAGACTTTATTTCAATTGTTATAACTACTAAATATCATTCCAGCTACGTTCTGGTACATCACGGGTTTTTAGAGTTGTACAGAGGTATTGTACCCGTTCTTTGGAGAAATGGGCCATCCAATGCAATATTTTTTATGCTGCGTGAAGAAGTATCCATATTTCTGCCAGATACTGTACGAGTTTATTATCATGAAGTTTCTCTCGGTTTAATAACATTAAACCTTTTTTGTATTTAGACTTCCAAAGCAACTAAAGCGGCACAAGAATTTGTGGCAGGAGCAGTCATTGGAGCGTCAATTAGCACACTTTTTTATCCACTTAACGTGATAAAAGTTGCCATGCAAAGTGAAATGGGCCATAAACAGGAAGGAATGTGGACGATATGCAAACGAATTTACTTTGAACGCGGAAATAGAATTAAATACTTCTACCGTGGATGTGGGTTCAACTCTTTTCGTTCATTTCTTAGTTGGGGAATCATGAATACGGCATATGAAAATTTGAAGAAAGTCATGTCGTAAGACCTGCAATTTTGTATTTCAGTAACAGTAAATAGCGCAAATACGAGTATAATGTTCAAACGACGGTGATGCATTGTAATGAAATATAACTTGAAGTTGAAGGCTCCCGGGATTTAGTACATGTAAATTTATGCATAAATATTAAAATTAAAGTGTTTCTATACTTACATGTACGGTGACCATCCGCCTTGCATTATACGGGACGCCAAATGTTCTGTATTTCTTTCACTGTTCTACATTTGTCCCGTATTCGGTGTTTCGACGCTCATTAAAATGACACGCCTACGAACGAGTTTTAAGTGATGTTGGTATATGATCGTAATTTTCTCCATAAACAGTTATTATTTTCTAATCTGGATGCCCGTGTTTCGATTCGAGGAATACATACAGTGACCAAAATATAAATTAGGACTCGGCATTTTAGCAAGGTTTGGCCATTTTTCCTTAGTTTATTTAATGTTTATTGTTTTTTATAAAGTAAAGCCCTTTTCGTAACAAAAACCATATAATACTGTTTAGGCGCTACTGCTAACACAAGGTGCCTGAATTCATGCTATGTACTGCCTCATGTGCAAAAATTTCCTTCATAAAATTCATGATTTTCGCACTCGCACTTCTCAACTGCCATGTAATAAAACTTTCTTAAGTTATAATTTGATGACAGTTCAAAGCATGCTCGGCCTAGTCTGCTGCAAATACCAGATTTCCAACTTTGTGCAAAAAACTATAAAAATTAATTCTGCAATATTTCACCAAAATTTCAAACTCTTTAATTAGAATCTTTAGAAAAAAATCGGTTTGCAGTTTTGTAATTCCTTAAAATTGAGTATAATAATGTGCCGCTCACTTGCTTCTCTTTTAGAAAAATGGTTGAACGTACTTTGTATGAAAAATATGCGCAACATCGTCAACAAAAAAAAAAATCAAAAATTTAATGTATGTAAGTCTTATCGACTTTAAAATTGCGCTTTAGTATACTAAAATTTGAGGTTTTTTGAAACAAATTTTGCGTGGTAAAAATCTCGAGAAAAATTGCTTACAAATTTGTGATGTTACTACAAGGATGCTGTTTCAGGGCTAATGCATCTAGGACAATTGATGATTGATCATTTAAAGACCTGTAAGTTTTTGTGGAAAAAATTTACAAAATTATTTTTTGTCCCATATTCGGCTCCCATAAATATGGTCACCGTACTTATTTATATGTACTGTCCTACTTGCGCTTATAATCAAATTAAAGCCAAATTAGACTTTGTTCGAGTTTTTATATGTTCATACATACATACATATGTATATATATGGTGTTTTCCAAAACATATCAATACAAAGCTCCCACGACAGTCGGGTTTACGTAACCGGAACGACTCAGATTTATATCTTGCCTAGGACTGTCACTCCAGCAACACTCCCCAAAAACTTTTTGGAGAATTTGTATGCTGTTACAACAACAACATCATTATATTTTTTGTTTAATATTTGCAATGTTTTTCAAGTTAAATTGTTTTGTTATTGTTTTATAAATATATAGGTCATGCTTTAATCTAAACCACTTAAGTCAAACTTTCAAACTTTATACAGAACGTAGAAAAATTCAACAAAAATTCAATCTCAATTTTTAACCTTTTAATCTGATCTTTTAGAAAAATTTTGGGTACGCAGATATATCGTTTATGTAATACTAGTCACACAAGTGAAAGGTTTAAGCGGCTAAAAAATCGCATTGATTTTTTATGGATTTTTTTCGACGGATTTTGCGGTTTTATGCATATAAGTGAAATTTATAAAATATAGCGTAAATTTTATCAAATTTTTGGTTGCAATCTGGGCATTTTCTTATACAAGAAATTCCCTTTTATACGGTAAAAAGTGCAAAAAGCCGTCAGCAATAAACAAATAATTAAAAATGAACGCTATTTTTTAGCCGCTAAAACTTGCACTTCTTGTACTAGAATTAAAAACCGATCTATCTGCATACTCAAAATTTTTCTAAAAATTCAAACCAAAAAAGTTTAAAATTTAGAAACAAATTTGTTGATTTTTTTTTTAGTTCTGTATGAAGTTTAAGTTTGGCTGACGTTGTTTTGATTAAAGCATGAATCATATTTTTATAAAAATTTAACTTGAAAAACGTTGCAAATATTTAAGAAAAAACACAATGCACTCACTTGATCGCCAGTGTGTATCATAAAATATAGTACACTCTTAAGTAGGCAGCAATGAAGAAATGCCAATTTGCGATTGAGTTGCGCAATAAAAGAGACTGATGCTTTGAATTGATGCGTTTTGGAAAACTTCCATCTTTATAAAATAAGAATGAGAGTTTTAAAATGTGTTATTAGAAAAATTGTTTTGTAAATTTAAGTAGAGTTGAATATTATTTATAATAATTTTTATAAACTGCCACCCCATATGGATTGCACCATAGTATTTACATATTGGCAATGTGATGACTCTAGAAGCTGAGAGAATAGTAGTGCAGATTTAAGGTTTTTTTTTGTTCTATAAAGCAGGACATTATTTATCTTACATTACATTATTGCAAATAGAGTTACGAGGGCGCGTACAGATATAAAAATATAGAGGTTTCCTTTATAAAATACGTACGTACATATAAATAAAATACGCATTTAAACATTTTATTACATTGTAGCAAAACTTTCAAACGCTAAGTATGCTTTAGCATTTGTTATGCTATTTATTTTTTACCGCAAGATAGTGTATACATTAGGGCGGGTCAATTTGTATGGATTGATATTTTTCGACATTGTTCCTAGCATATTCGGATTCTTCATAAAATTCTAAGAAAAAAATTCCTCCAGACCATAGCTCTAAAGTCAATTTCGAGCCTGTGCATTTTTAAAAGAAGATATCTTATATACAAAAATGAATTGCTGTCCGTTAGCCTAGCTAAGACTCGAAAACGGCTTGACCGATTTGAATATTTTTATTTTTTTGGTTTGTTTGTTATAATATCCGGATGGTTAAAACGAAAAAAATAGAGAGTTGCCACCTGTTTAACAATTCAGTATAAGTAAATTAATGACATAAATTAGATATCGCAATATGGGTGTCAAAAGAAAGAGGTTATCAAGGCTTGCAGGCGAAAATATCTTTGAGGGGGTTTGCCACCTGTTTCAAAATTAAATTAAATTAAATTGGTAAGATAAATTAAATATTGCAATATGGGTATCAAATTAAAAAGGTTTAAGAAGGCTTACTACTGAAAATATTTTTGAGTCGAGTTGCCACCAATTTCAAAAATTTAATTCAGTAAAGTTGATAAGATAAAGTATTTATAATATAATAGGTGTCAAACGAAAAGTATCTGAAAAATTATTGATTAAGAAATATTTTCTATAGGCCTGTCACCTACCTGAGCGGTAAAAACTAAAAGCCATACTCGCAATTATTATTCAAAGCTTTTGAGGCTCGCATCAATGTAGAATACTGTAACTCCGTCAAGTTAGTGTTTATTGATGGCAAACAAAGTACTATCATGTTTGGCAATGATATCACCCCATCGAACAATGCACTCAGCCTCGATATAAAAAGAGAACAAAAGCCGAAGTAGTAGCCGAAGCAGTTCATACAAATGTTCCACAAATGAACTAACAAAAAATATGGCCTACGACTCTTTTATAGAAGCTGTGGATACTGGAGTAAATTTTAAACAAAAAACAAAACCGACTTCAATTCTCATATACAAATTTAAGAGTACCGTTATTTTCTTTATGGCCCATTATCGGATCTACATTCAGTTAGTAGGAGACTACCTCTAAGGAACCACCTTTCCTTTAAAAAAGAATTGTAGAAAACGGATAACGTAGTCCAAAGTTATCCGGTAACATACATAAAAGCATATTACGACGAATTAATAAAATATGCAGATTAATATTTAATACAGTGTTACGGCTATATTTTTTTTAATACAAACCTATGCTTGGGAGTTAATTGATACGAAAAATTAATTTGGGATATCTATTTTTTATTTAAAGAACCGCAAGATTGCACTACAAAGCAAATTACATATTTTTTACTATTGTAACGGGAGAAGTTACTGTATGTATTTTTTTATATGTACAGTGTCGAACAAAAGTTTTGGCACAGTAAATTCTCGCATTACATATATGCAAAGTTTTTAATTTATTTCCGATAATTTTTTATAAAAACATAGTTCATACTATACCAAAACACATAAAAATCAAATGTGTAAACCCTTGTGCAAAACTCAGGAAAATTCAATAAATCAGTATACTAATTGCAATTTTATATTCAGATTTTCAAGCAACTTCAAACTTGCACTTTGATAAACTAAAACTGAATGGATTACTAAACTGCATACTTGGAATTATTCTAAAAAATACTTTGCCTATATTGCGTAAAATTCACTGTGCCAATACTTTTGTTCGTTACTGTAAGTAAATGAAACTTTAACTTAAAAAAACCAAAAAAACAAAAAAATTTACAATATTTCAAAATTATTTTTCGAATCTTAAAGCTGCATTTCTTTATTCATTCTGAACGTTTGGAATAAACTTTTTTGTTTACTTATTCTTTAGAACGTTCCTGATGATATGTAAACGTATATTTCAATGGCATTCTGTTTATTCTGGTTGTGAAATGGGTTTATCCGGAATGTATAAAGAAACGCAGCCTAAATTTTGTTATGATTAACAATGTATTTATATTTTTTTTTTGGTTTTAGATCCTTTTTGCTTTCAACATACCTCGTGTTTTTTCTACTTTCTATTGTCATAGCCATAACTCCCTCTCTATTTTTACCAATCAATCAATCAATTTAATAATTTTTTTCGGCATTTTTCCTAAATACAAGTAGAGCTTTATAAAACTTGTATAACACCAAATGTTTATCAAGCTTAGGATTTTGTGTTATCCGGGCAGGCTTACTAATTAAACCAGAGAATATGTTTTCTTTATTAAGTTTACCCAGTTCCCCATTTTAAACTGCTGCCTGTACTGTATCAGCGGTTAAAACTTGTTAAATTTTTATTTAAAATTTTCGGTAAGGAATAAGCGAGTGGATGAAAAATATATAACGGTAAGAACGGCCCATATATATGTACATATATGAAAGAATACACACATGCGACGTCTCTAGCCATTGTGTGTCACTCCTTCAAATTGTAGTTATTTTTTTTTATTGTATTAAAAAAATAACGTTCGTAACACTTTAATAAATATTAATCCATATATTAACTTGGTATATATTAAAGACTAGAAGATGACCCGGTGAACTTCATATCATCTATAATTTATCTGAATTTCACTTTGATCAATTATAACAAATCTTCAAAATGCAATACATTGAGATCACTAATACTGCCTGGTGTTATAGCTGATAAAAGATTCCACACCTATGAGATGTGCCACGCCCTTTTTACAAACTCATTTATATACATATATTTTTCCATAAGCACCTACCATAGGTATCTGTGCATTTCAAATTTCGAGTTCATGTGACTATAATTCCGAAGTTAGAGCTGATTAAAAATTTTCACTATGGGAGGTATCCCCCATCCCCCTCCCCCCTTGGCGAGTTCCAATTTTTTACCCTATTATAGGTCCAGGAGTCATGGCAATACTTTGGCAAAATCTTATTCGATTCTGTCCATCCGTTTAGGCTGCAACCTGGCACATACATACTTCCACAAATATATGG